CAAACTAGTGAAGGTCGTCAAGAGGATATGATGAGATTGGTGGATTATATTTCAAACTTGGACTTTATCTTCAACTTTGAGAATGTTAATTAACTTCTTTTGAAAATAACATAAACCTACCTGCAAAACTCATTTCAATGCTCAAGTGAACTTTTAAATAAAAAAGTAATATTTTTAAGAATAATAGATGAAATGAAACTTACTCATTAATCGAGTCTTCTTATATAAAACTCAAAAGATAATAATATATCAAAATATAATAACTTATCGATCAATCACTACAAGAAAATCATTCTTTATCGATGGATATTTATCGATCGGATATTTAGCTATCGAAAAATAAGTGATTATCCATCGGTAAATGAACAATTAATTATACGTTGTGAAATTTGGTCTTACGGATGAATATATCCGTCGGTAAATATTTAAAATATATAAATATATAATTATATTTATATTTATATAGTTTATATTTATATTTTTATACGGATATATATTTATTTATATATAAATATAATTTATTTGTAAGTTATTATTGAAAAATCGTAGTAAGTTAGTGGTTAGAGTATCGATCTGCAATTTTAAGGTACGGTCTCTAGATTAATATAAATAAAAATGTTTTATTGAAATATTACCGATGGATATATCTATGGATAATTATCTATAATAATTTTCGATAAATTTTTGTCCGTCAATAATATTTATTTACCGATGAATTTTTCTGTCAAAAAATCTAATTTTTTTTGTAATGAATAAATAATAACTAATACCACTATATATAATAATTAATAAAAAAATAATTAATAATATATAATAAAATAATTTTAATAAATTTAAATATGCAATCACGTGTTTGAAAAAGTTGATGATTATAATATACAAAATAAAGTGCATAATATAATATTAGAAAAACTAAAAATACAATAATCAACTTGTGATCTCGTTACATAAAGTGGTTGTTCAATAAATTAGGGCTGCTATGTGAGCTAAAAAAATTGACTGTTGACTAGGTATACTGGCTACTTTTTAACGTCAACCTTTGTTCTAAAATTTAAACTATTATAATATAAAGTATGTTTACCTATTCTTCATTATAATATAAAGTTTTATAATATAAATTTGGCATCGCATTTATATATTTTGAAATCACGTTTAAAATTAAAAAACGATTTGCACAATATGAAATAAAAGATATGGTAAATGAAAAATTGGGTAACAGGGAAGAAAAGAGGATTGATTAAAATTGACACATTGGTTGGTTGGACAATGGGAATGGGCATCGTTGTCACACGGACCTTTGAGTTTGACAACGTGGTCATGGATGTTGTTTTTGTCTCCCACGCACGAAGACACAGATATAACCAATAACAACGTGCCACGTGCCAAGAAGCATTAAATGTCACCTGTGTCACTGCCACTGCGTCCGATTCATTCTTCTTCGCATCTTCACTCTTCACCACGCAAACTAATGTCTCCCATATCTCAATTAATTCAAATATACATGTAATTTACCGAACTCACAATTAAAATATAAGGAAAATATTCAAAATATTGATCAATATTTTATTATTATTTAAGATATTTAGCATTATCTGATATATTTAGAATTATTTAATATATATTTAAAATAATAAAATACTATATTACTATAATTATTGTTATTCATATTTTTTATTTGTCTGTGATCCATTTGAAATATAATAGAAGTCGATGACTCTTTAAGATTTAGGTAATAACGCCATGTAATTATCATAAAATTAAATATAGAGTTTATTTTATTTATATTTTTTTATTTTTTACTAAAAATTATGTTTTTAATATTTATAAGCTTAACATAGTTTAGATTCGAAATAAAAAATAATTTTTATATATATATATATATATATATATTTAATTTATTATAATATTTTTAAAAAATAAAATCATAATAAATTAAAATATTAAAATAAATAATATTTCTCATGTAATCATAATAATATTTTTTATCAAAATATATATAAAATCGAAATAATTTTGGGACATTCATAATTTTTTAAAATCTTTTATCGTGTTTCATTAACATAATTTCCACAACTACCGTCAAAAAGGCAAGTGTCCAAAAAAAATAATGCGTTTGTACATATGTAAGTGATTGTCTTAGTCAATGTTCATTTTAAATTTTATCAAATTTGTAAAATCCATTATTTGGTTGCAACTGATACTAAAAGTTGACGCAGAGTCCATCTGTAACATTATTCAACGTTGGAAAAGATAGATGGTAAAGAAGATTCTCTATAATTTGACAATATTTTAATAAATATAAACGTTTGATTTCCTCTTATTATATATGTTCAACGATAATTTCATTGATCAAATTATCACTCCTTCCTTTATTTTTTTTTAAATATTTTTAAACCAACTACCACTACTGTTTGAATTTGTTGCTGTTGCTGCTACAAACAAACGTATAATATAAGTATTAATTAGCATAATTAAATGATTGTTAGGTGATAATGGTAGAATGTGCTACTTTTCTCGACATTCAATTTGCCAATTTTTAACTTAACACATAACTTTTCATTTTTTTTTTGTTTATAACACTTTACCTTGTTATAGATTTATTATTTCTTCTCTTTTAATTTATTGTTCTTTTCATTTTCAAAACATAATCATCTTTTTTTCGCAACTTTATTTCTAGCTTTCTTTCCATTCTTGTGAAAGCTATTTTCATCCTTTTCTTCTTTCTGTCACTGATTTTACACTTTTAATTTTCTATCGTTCTATGTTTATTAATTAGTTTTCATGTGCTTTTTAACAATTTTATTTTTCTGCCTTTTTTTTTCAAATTTATTTTCTGTCAAAAGATTTACTTCTTTTTATCAAGTCATTTTCTTTTTTATCTCTTTTCTTAACCTTTTTGTCGTCAAATCTTCTCTTCAGGGTCAACTTCTTTTATTGATGGTTTATCTTATGTAAATTGTTCTACACTTTTTTTTTTTTTTTGACGAACCAATGTTGAGAGTGATAAAAGTATGTAATTAATTTAAGATTAAGAAAACAAAAATAGTAACTATAATTTTAACTCATTATGGTTTGTCGCCAAATTAGGTACAAACCACTGGTTTTGAACGAGTCAAGGACCAAAAATCAATAGAATGGGAACGATTCCATTGAAAAACACCAACGATTAATTAATTTGGACTCCAAAATTGACATGAACGAGCTTTGGACATGTTTGATGGATTAGTTTAAGATTTTAAACTATGAAACCCATAGGTTAGAATTAGCCCATGGACTTAGGAGTTAAAAAATATTAAATATTAAATAATTTTCCCTTCCTTATAATAAATTATATAATTATTACATTTTGTGAGGGAATCTTGTATTCAATAATTTGTAAAAGTAAAACTAGTTGATTCAACAACCTTAAAATACCACCACCAATATAGTCTAAATTATGGGCCAGGGTTAAAAACAAGGGACTTCAAACATAATGGGCTCAGTAGAATGGTCCATGGGCTTTAACCCACTATGAAAAATCTAAAAGAAAGCTTCTTCCACAAGGCTTGAGACTAGAGTTGCATTGTAACTTAGAACACCATTTTAAATGCCAAGTTAAAGACTTTCTTCTATGAAAAACCAAAACAAAAATCTCCGTTTGGAGTTTCTGAATCTGTTATTCAAACACACACTAACCAATTACAATGCATGTGTTATTTTGAATCCAGCTGTGAAAGTTTGATCAAAGGACAACGAATGGAACGAACAGGGTAGAAGTGATTGGAGTGTAGAATTGGTGTTATTGTGTAAGATGATTTTGTATTTTGTAGGGTGGATCCCTAAGTTTTTGTTGATAGGGACAATTCACATATAAATTAAATTCTTCTTTCTTGTTTGAGTTGTATCTCTACACGTTTGGGAACTAAACAACTACAACCTGTTGGGGACTGTTTGGGAAGAAAGAATGAAATAAAAAAAACAAACAAACTTTAACATAATTCATATTGCTTCTATTTTGTAGCATATAGGGAAGGGAAGGAAGAAAGAGTTATTTTTTGTGGGATCACCATTCATACTTCTTTTCTCCAAATTGCGAAAGTAGAGTTTTTAGTATCATGACAAAATTGTCCTACATTATAAAGGTCTTTCTCTTATTTTAAAATAATTTGAACTTGCATGTAAAAAAATAAAATAAAAACAACCTACCATACCCAACCCAATAACATCAAATATTCCATCATAAAAAAAATATATTAAAAAATATACCCACTCTCATTATAAAAATTACTATGGACATTTTTTGAAAAAAAAAATCATAAATATCAACTTAATCTCATTGAAAATACAAATTTAAAGAGTTTATATATACAATATATTTTTATTTCCACCAAAAACCTTACTAAGTGAATGACTCCATACTTTTTGCAAACACTAACAAACAAAATTGTATGTATCAATTTATTCATCATCTGTAAAAAATATGTTAAACATTCAATACTTTTGTTAATTGGTAATAAGAAAACATTGGTGTGAAACATATAGGAAAAGAGTTAACATTATTCAAGCCAGGCAAACCACTTGATTTTTCAAATTCTTTCAAATGAAAACTATCCTTAAAAAGAAGGCTAGGGAGAAGCAACCACTAATGGATAAAGAACAAGTAAGTAATTAATTAAGTCTTATAAAATTAATTAATCTACTTTTTGAAATATAAACATATGATCTCTATATATAATAAATTAGAATAATTTATTATTCTAATTTTTTTATGCTTCTTTTTTTATTTTCCTTTTGCTATATTTTCCATACTCCTTGGTCACTTGTATTTTAATTTCTATGTCAAAACATTATTGTGATTCTACAAAGCACATTCCCTCCTCAAACATTTCAATAGCCGTTGCACTTTTGTCTGTTGTGTTCTGTCCACATTTTCAAACCAAAATCCAAAGCCATGCAAACACTCTCTTCTCCTCACTGCCCCACCCTCACACTCTAAATCCAACCCTTCTCATTCCACCCCAATGGGTTGCTGCATCAGCACACCCAAAAATCAAAACCAAAACAAACAAACCACCCAGAAAAATCAACACCATGAACCACCACTTCCGCCGCCGCCGCCGCCGCCACCAGCCTTTGAAGAGGAATATGTGAAAGAAGTACTCTCAGAGACCCCAATTTCCAAACCTGCACAACAAGTTCCAATTTTGACGCCAGAAACAAACACCCTTTCGCCTCTCCTTCAAAACCCACTTCCCATTTTCCAAACCGAGCCCACTATAGAAGAACACTCCGAAGCTGTCTCTCAGCTCTCAGAAACATGCAGCATGAGCGAGAGCTTCTCCGCCGCCACAACCACCACCGCCACCATCACCGCCACCACCGTCACGGAGGTAAGAGAAGAAGACGATGCAACCAGCAAAGTGCACAAGTGGGACCAGTCTCCGTCCAGGAAGAGACCCCATGTCTCCGACGGCAACCCCACCGGCGGAAGAGACCGCAGACTCAAGTCACCGGCGAGGAGGTCGGAGCCGTCGCCGGAGAAGAAAATTAAGGGAAGTTCGAGGCCACTTAGGGGGAGGGAAGCAAGGGAATCCGTAGCGGCCGCGAATCGAAGGCGAAACGTCGGCGCCGCCTCTATCCGGCGGGACTCCGGCGAGGGTTCAGGTAGGAGATCGAGGTCTCCCGCGCGTGCAATGACGGGAAAGGTGGGTGCCGGAGGTATTCGGAAAGAGGTGGCGCCGCTGAGTTCGGCGGAGAAGAAAGAGACTGCGCCGGGGCTTGCGGTGGACAAGGAGAAAGAGAACGAAAAGAAGGGTGAGGGTGAGGAGGTTGGGGAGAAAAACGACGTCGTTTCGCAGGAAGAGTGCCTCGAGAACCCGCACGTTTCGATGGAGTGCTTTATTTTTCTGTAGAATCACGTTTTACAACCTTTTCGGGACTTCTGGAAGCGATTTCCACATGGGGTTGCGTTCGTTTCAAATAGTAGCAGGTTTCACTTTTGACTTTTTTAAGAGCTTTGATAGAACGGTGGAGCTTTTGTGCTTCGCTTTTTGTATTCTTCATCACAATTTACTTGGTGTAAATAATGCATATGAAACGAGTCCCAAATATTTCATATTTCAAAAAAAGTTTATTCTGATTTTCTTTTTCACCTTATGGATATTTTGTACATTCTATTAAGATGGAAAAGTTTAGGTGCATGTTACGGGCATTTTACTCTCTTTACTTTGTAGGGTATAAAAAAAAATTAATAACGACACAATTTTATTTTGACAAATATTAGATTCTTCAGTGTTCTCTAGTTGATGGATATTTAATCTAATTAAATATTTAAAGACATAATATATATAATTATGTCTCGGATCCTTTTTAAAAACATAATTAAATACTTCATAATAATTGAAATTAGTTAATTTAACTTGTTGTATTAAATATATTTTAAATTTATAATTTCCAAAATTATTCTTAATATTAATGAAACACTTAATATTCCAGTATTTAAGTTGCGTAAAATATATTTTCGATTCTTTTAGAAATATTAAACAACACTTTTAATTTAGGTTTTAAGAAAATGATCAGATAAAGTATCATGCAGAACTCAAACTTTAAATGACAATTAGAATAATTGTTGTGAATATTCGATAATATATGATTAATTTGTTAACTTTTATAATAATTATTGTTAAAGCAAAAAAGATGTATCTTTAGTGTGGTGCATAGCTATTAAAGTCCATTAAAGATCTATGGAGACACACTTTGTGACACCAAATTCTTTCTATTTATATTTCCCCCCAAAGGAAAAGTGTAGGGTAAAATGAAAGAAAGATCCTTTAATTCAGGTTATTTTCAAAAATGTTATCTTTTTACTTTTTTTTTTTTCCAGGTTCTCCCTCATGATCTCTTATAAATATTATATCTTAATCTATGGAGTATGGAAGGTGGATTTGTGGAAGAAGGTGACATGAAACAATGGAAAGAAATGCATCTTGCCTTGCCCCCCTCTTTCCTTTATGGGGATGGGAAAGAAGGGGCTTCTTTGATTTTTGATATTGGCATGGAAATCGAGCAACTATCCAACCTAAACCGACCATGTGCGTGTTCCTCAATCCAAAGATTGGTTCTTTAACCATGGTCACATGAATAAACAAAATGTTAATATGCAAAGTTGGATATTATTATAGAATTGTAATTACAAGGCAATGTCTCCACACACGCTATGAAAGAATATTTATTACTAAGTTTTGTTAATCATTGTGTCTCAACTGAGGATGTTCAACTCACTTTGGCAGATCAAAACAACAAATTACTTAGCAGCTTGAGCACCACGCAACTCTGCATGATAACTCACAAAAGGCATCTAACTTCAACCATAACTTCCTTGGAAAAGGGAACTTTTCAAAATTTCATGCTTGGCAAGGCACATCCATTGAAAATTACAATGCAATTGTTTAACATCATATATCAAATATTTTACTCCATCTCTAAGTAGTAGATCTACCAAGTTGATTAGGGGGAGAAAAGGGTTTCAATTGTGTGGAAAAGAGACGCCGTTCTGCTATCTATACTATCCAAGTAATGCCCGTCAATGATGAATCTCACCAGAGGCTTTTACACCCTAAATTACACGTGACCTTAATTCTTGTCACAGGTCAAAGGGGATGAACCGTCATATCTTAGTTACTTGTTAGATTATGGTCTCTCACTGATGTTAAAGGTTCAAGGAAGCATGAAGTATGTTGAATTAGGCCATGACAAGGGCTCGCGTTGACATGGTGCAGGCACAGGGAGTGCAATGAACGAAGGAATCTTCTCTCCAGGCATCAACACTAGTACACCTCTTCCATAAATGGTCATCTAATTAACTTGAACAGAAATTAGAAAACAGTAGCTTTCATTAGATTCAAATGATAATAGAGTAAACAATCCATATACCACAGTGTAAGGCATCTTTATATTGTACTTCAATCATATATTGACGTATGTTATAAACTAAAAGTGGTTTGGAGAAGTTCTCTACAGGAAAAAAACTCTATATGTCAGCCAAGAAATTCTTAAAATTTCTAGCTTGTATCCAAACAAATTTAATGTATAATAATTTTATTGATGCTTACAATAATTACTTTAAAATTATTACCATCGTTTTTCTAATTGATTGATAGTTTATGCATAATACATAGAACGGACAATTAGTACATGTGGGTATATCTACCATTCCACTAGAGTAATGCAACTTAGAAGTTAAACGCATGCCACAGTGCCAGAAGGAAAGTAGTGAAGACTAAAACAAACTAATGTATTACACAAGAAGAAAGATTAAAGAAATGTTTAAGAAGAAAAACAACTGCATACAGGTGAACAGTGTAAAGTAGAGTATTAGACTACTTTGTTTTGTAAAAGTTCAACAAGTAGATATCATTACAGTCTACATGTGCTTAATTGCCTTCAAAGTGTAGTAAAGTGTCGGCACATGCATGTCGATTTTGATCGGTATAGGAATATGATGATGCTACAATCATAACACCCGAAACTCATCACTTATTTAAGAAATAGAATTCAATTATTAAACAGAAAGTTTGTCTAGTATTTTCATCAAACATCGTAATGCAATCATCGCCGGATGGACAACAATACTGTAATGTGTATGATGACTGGTTGCTAGAAAAGAAATTGTATCCTCTGTACATGAAGCCCAAACAATACTCAACTGACAGAGTTTTGTCCTCTTTACAAACAGTGTGATATAATAATGAATAAGGTTTAATGAACAGTTTTTACCTCAACATCAAGGTTTATGGATAACATTGGTCTGAATTTTTCAAAGAAGTATAAGGGTTGCAATGAAAACCACCACCAATCCAATTTAATATCCACAGAGCATAAATAGGAGTACTAAATTGCTCAACTTGAGAGCTGAATATATCTTGGCTGATTGAAAGGAGTAGGACCATTATTAAATTAACATGGACTAGTTAATGAAGAAACATTACAAGTTAAATTATTTGTTACAATTAGTAGCACTCGGGAGTAAATTATGTTCCAGAAGTTTGATACAGCTAATTGTTTCTCTGATGTCATTTAAGGGGGAAACACATGCTATGCTACGAACATTTAGAAGTCCTGTTATACAAACAAACTAGTAAAAACAGACAAAAAAACACCTAATTGGCGTTTCCCTTGTTAGTTTTCTGTACAAACATAAGCATAAAAGTCATGCTTAGAATATTACAAAGTAGGTTGTAGATAAATAAACTCCTAATATTTATCATATACTGCCATTCGAAGATATTTGTGACCAAAAACCCACTGAATTTGAACTCTTTCCAAACAAGATTTTCGGACCAAAATGTTTTCACTTGGCCAATCACATATAGCAGACGGAAAACTGAAAATTCTTTTCAACTTGACCATAGAGCATTGCAAGAAAAATCCAGTACATGATGGTGTGCCATCTGTAATGTTTAACATCGTTACTTGTTTGTATGCAAGTTGATGACTTTATTGCCCATGCACATTCAAAGTTATGGTAAAAAAGACCATAGCCATAAGTCATAAGTCCATCATTATAGAACAGCATGAAAAGAAAGTAAAAAGGGGGAGCAAAAAGTCACATTTTCACCATCATAGTGAATAAACTAGACTAGACTAGAAGTAAACAAAATCCAAGAAGAGGGGGTGTTAAAGTGCACCTTGGGTGATAAATTTTCGAACTTTCCACCAAAGTCGATTTGGTGTTCAAGATTTATAGGAGATGCAACACTGGCTTCACTTGATCTTTGCCTAAAAAATCTCTCAAAGATAGCCAGAAGAAGAAACATAGAAATGAGGATGGCAGTGGCAACAAACCCAAAAGACACTGCATTCACTGAGTCGTCAAAATGCTTCCAATGGTCTGATCTGAAGGGAGCTTCTGTTGGAGCTGTGACTGCAACACCCATCATCACAGCATAAATTTCGCAGCACCAGTTGTTTGTAGCTCTAACTTTCTCATTATTACCAAATGAAGAGAGTGAAGAGTGAGAGAAAGCTAGTTATTTTACATTGTGTTGTTTACCCTTATGAGAGAGTGAGTACATGCAGGATGACGAAAGGGTTTGCAGTTAGAGGATCAGTAATTAGTTGTCATAAGTCAGAGATTGTGATGGGCTCAGGTTGGGTAGCATTTGTGCAGTGTCTATGCTAGGAGAGAGCTGAAGGAGACATTGAAATGATGAGACGGAGGGACATGACAAAGAAAAAACAGCATCTCTGACCAACTCTGGTATAGAGGGACAGCAAAAACCAAGGGTCTTACAAGGTTCACCACTTGATATCTGTTCACCTAAAAACTTGATGATGCAGTTATATGCAGTGAAATTATTGTATGGTGTGGACCATGGCTTGGCATAGTTTCTGTGCATTTAGTTGTTGAAATAGTTATGTATTATGTAAATAACTATAAATTCTGAATTATCATTCATAATCTTATGTAATTGTTGGTTAAGGACGGGAAAGGTTATTTATTGGAGTGTATTTTTTTAATTTTTTAATAAGTTTCTATATATTTTAAGGACTTTTTTTTTTTAAGTTTAGGATTTTTTTAATAAGATTTATTGTAAAATACTAAATACTATTAATATAAAATTTAAAATAATTATAATAAAATTAACAACTTTATTTTACGTTTTTATGATTACATGGACTACTTATTTTTTTTTAATTTACAAAACAATTTTAATAAAATTAATGGTGTTGTTGGTAGTGTAAAAAAAAATATTGAAAAGTATTTTAAATGTTAGTATAATTTATTTCATAATCACATTAATAGAATTTAAATCTTAAATAAACTATTTGGGTCATGTCTGTTTACAGGACAATGGAGATTAAAAAATATTCGAGTAAAAAAATATAAAATTTATTTTCTTTATTTAATAAAATAAGAAAAAAAATAAAAATATGCTATTTTTCAAAATTTTAATTATAATATTTTAATAAAATTTAATAAATATGAAAATATAATAAAAATTTATAATAAAAAATATTTTATAATTATATATTATTCTAAATCTTAAACTTTAAACTCTATAGCTTAATTTAAAGATGTTAATTGAAAAACTATTTTGTTGATAAAATTAATTAATAATTATACAAAATGATTTTATAGTTATCAAATATTTATTTATTTATTATTTTTAAATAAAACATATTTTCTATATTTTTTAAAAAAATAAATATATTTTTATCTTATTTTTTTCTGTTTTCATATTTTTTTCTTTCTTTCTGAAAAATATCTGTATAAATGTAATAGGTTTTTATCCCTGACCACACAAAATTTAATTTATTAATTTTTTATTTAAAATGAAGAACTAGATGCAGTATTATATACAATGATAGAAATAAATGCAGCGTTTGAATTCAAACAAAGTCTTAGAAGATGAAGCACTAGAAATATTTTTCATACGATTTATATTGAACAAAAATATTGGTTAACAATTCAAATATTAAATTCCATTTCTTCCTCAGTTATTTCAAAATATATGTAAAAAATTTAAATAAATAAAGTAAGAAAATAAAGAATATTAAATTTTATTGTTTTATTTAAGCATAAAAAATATAGATTAAAAAATATTTTATCTTTCATTAATTTTTTATTTTCGTAACATTTTTCCTTTTTTATTTTATTTTATTATTGTTTTCTATATGTTCCATATATTTGTAAAAAATTAATAATAAATAAGATTCTATTTTAAGATATTTTTAAATTTACTTTATTTATTTTTATTTTATATTATAAAATATCAATTATCTTTTTGTTTTATTTAGTTAATAATATAAATATATAATATATATTACTTAAATTTCTTTATTGTTATTATATTGATATGTTTAAATTTATTTATTCTTATTTTTAAATAAACATAATTATAAATAGATAAAAATGGTAAAAGAAACAAAAAAGTAAGTGAATTAATAAAATAATAATAATTAAAAATAAATTTAATAGATGAATTAATAAATTAAAAAATAATTAATATTTTCATCTTATCTAAATCATCAAACAATCATTACTATGTTTAAATTCATAATTGTTTCCAGTAACTATATTTATATTTTATTTCAATTAAATATAATTAGTAAACATGTAGTTAAAAATTGAATTTGAAAGAATAAAAAAAAAACTATGTATAGTAGTATTAATTTAGACATGAATGGAAAGAGTTGATATCACGTGATATGGCGAGTGTTTTGCAACGGAGGAGGATGGATGAGGTGACATTCACATGATGTCTGCCTCTGCCCAACCTTTCTTTCATCACGCAACATTGTCCCCACACCACAACGCTGTCCCTTTCTCTTAGGACATAATTTACCACCACTCCCACAATAATTATACTACCTACCCATATCTTCTTTATTTATTTTTCTATATTGGTTATTTCTTTTACAATAAAATGTAAATTTGTATGTTCTAAACT